GCAGAAACACATGCCCAGGATGCACAGTGATCCATGAGAATCTGATGAACATCAATTTCAAAAGTTTCTATGGTAGTCAGCAAAACTACAAGGACAATTCCAAAAGTAAATATACAGCAGCAAAGCACCATCAGCACTTAACCAGTTGCTTTGACTATGCTATGAAATGCTTTCAAATTATACTAAAAGGCTTTAGCAGAATTACAGCAGAATGTGCCACAGCAGAAGGTGAAAGATAACACACTTGAAATGATTAATTCAGTCTGAGATAGGTTTGAAAATCCTTTACATTAAAAGAGAAACCTAGCAACTGCTGCCAGACATTTTTAAAATACTGTACATGCAAATATACATTTTAACGGCTTTATAAACCAACACAAGATTATCTAGCAGTAACATTATCTAGCTCTTAATGAGCTGAGTTAATGATTAATATTGTAATGCTGCCCTACAGCATGTTTGCTGCAGTTGAGGAGATTAGGGATATTACGCACACAGATTTTAGGCTGCAGAGCAGGTTACTCTGAGATGATTCAGTCACCTAGAAAGGACCAAAAGTGTTTCACAAAAATGTTGATTTTTACAATAATTCCCTTCTGGGAAGAGAGGATTGCTTTCCAGTCAAACAGAAATCCCTATACCCAAATTAGATCATTTGGTTTTCCTCACTGCCAATAATGAGTCATTCCATTAGATGCTCAGAAACAAAAGCAGTTGCATTTTGCTACTGATTGTACCAATGAATATCTGAATTTGGATGCAATGTCCAGTTTCAATGCTTAATCATTCAATTACTGTTTAAAAAATATTAAACAGGTCACAAAATGGTATCAGTTGGCCTAGCTGCCTATGCTAATTTACTGAAAAGGTTGCCCCTAAGAGTCTTGGCCAATGAGAAAGGAAAGAAAAGGAGTAATTTGCCAAACAGGACCATCTTTCTTGCAGGATCTGGTGTAAAGGGAACAGAACATAATTCTTTTAAGCAAAATTGCATTAAAATTTCTTTGGAGAAGGCTCAGAGTAGATGATTGTTTTGGGTTTTTTCCTTGAATTAGAAAGTATGCACAGTTTTCAGAGCATTAACATTGCCTTTTTAATTTCAAATTGTTGCACTGTGTGCTTGTTATGATACGTTAATTCAAGAGAGCATATTTGGACTCATAGACTTACCTTGTTACAGATCTGCAAAAAGGAGTGGTATATATATTTTTTTGTCTTTGGGTAAGTGAAATGTAGCACCTATGGACAGGGAAGTTGAAGACCAAGTCAGAACATCTTTTACCATGTAGAAATAAATGGACGCTGTCTGCCTTATGTAGACCTGGAGTGACATCTGGTGACATGAAAAAGCAGTGCAAGTAACGAGCTACAGACAGATTGATCTGCCTTGGTAGAGCTGCAGAAGCTCTTGAGCAATTTTCTCCCTCTCCATTAAAAATGTTAAGAAACATTAATACAAAGACTTTAACAGAAATCTTTGCAATTTGCAATAAATTTAACCTCCTTACTCACAAATCAGACATCTTTGATGACAATTAGTTCAGTGAGGATTCAATTTACTGCTGAGCAATCCTACCACTGGAAAATGTTCAGCTGGTCTCACTGCATGCAAAAAAATAAACATAGTGATTTAATTGTAATTGTTCTTAAATTGATAAAATTAATCCAGTGCAAATGGCTCAGTGAACACGGTCCTTTTGGTTTAATAATGGCCTATTTTATCTCACGCTCACATTTCTAGTTGATTTAACCTAAGCCACGGTAAGCTCCTGTGCTGCAGTTTGGCACAGTCAGTTTACATTGCCCCCTGAAGATAAACTGCGGCACAGACATGACACCCTCCCTGACCAAGGCAGATACACGAGCCAGAATAAAACTCTCTAACCCTCTTTTTTTGACATTTCACAAACCAGCTTATCAGCTACACTCCACCACCCCACACACTAACAGCACAAGAGGAAAAGTCATTGCAGTGATTAAATTAATCACCAGCACTGGGCCAGGTGCCCAGCAAAGGGATGGAGAAGGTCTCCAGTGCGTTGCTGTCAGGCCATTGGCCTAGCACGGCTGAGGAGCGAAAGACCCCACTTTGCACAGGCCCATTTCACTGGGCTTACTGGTGCTGAGCCCTCCGGGATGTGTCAACACCCCCTGCCCCTGCTGACTCCTCTCGCTGAGGTAACCGCCATGGCTGCAGTCCCTGCGGCACGAGATCTGTCCCCCCCTCACACACACGCCTCTGATTGGCTGCTGCTCTGCCCCACCTGGCCCGTGGGTGGGTCACCGCATCACACGCTCGCCTCCGGTTGGCTCTCAGCCCGCCGGTGGGCGGGGTGAGGCGGTCTCCCTTACACAGCCGGCGGCGCTACGGTCCTGGGTGCCGGGTCAGTGGCCGTCCTGAGGGCTCAGCCCAGCCCCAGGCTGAGGCCTCGACTAGGCCGCAGCGGACAGACAGGTGGCATTACTTTATGGTAATGTATTATATGGAAGGTCACTGTGGAGGCAGCGCTCCAGAAGAGATGCTGGCAAAGCTGTGCCCCTCCTGGGCGAGAACAATTCCCTGAGCTCCCCTAAGGAGCCCAGAGGAGCAGGCATCCACCTAAATCTAATTCAGGTCTAATGTAATTTCCTTAGCTGTTGTAAATGGAAAATATATTCTTCATTTCCTGTCCTAAATTTCTCGCTAGAGGGGCTGTGCGTCGTTAAATACTGTGGCAGAAATTCAAAAGCAGCGGGGATGTGGTATATTAAGGGTGTAGTTTGTGCATACTGTAGTTAATATACCATGTAAGTGCTTTCAAAAGGAAAAAAAAAGCTGCTGCAACAATCATACTCATATACTAATAAATGTTTGCTAAAGATTAATTGTAGCAGCTGTGTGATTACTTTAAAAAGTTGTAGCAAAAGTTTTATACTCAATTATATTCTGATATATTTTTTCATACATGCGGAGGGGCTTTTATTGAGGTTTTTTTGGTGAATTATGAGCTCTGACTGGTTCATTTTTACCGCATCTTTATGCTTTGTGCAAATACAATTTACTGAGTCCCATACAAGCATAACTGGGTACAATTCCTCACCCTTTCTTATGGAGGTGGTCAGAATAGTTTATGCTATACTATTTTTTGGACCTTTAGAATCTAAAAAAGTTAATTAAAAAAGTAGTAAGTCAAAGTGTTCCAGGCAATTTCAACTTTCTTCTGTTGTAATCTCCACTGTGATGCCATTAGAAATACAGATTCTGGAACTCAGTCTGTTAGGAATTTAGATCTTCTTTCCAAACTTCTTGGAAATCCCATGACTTATAAATTATGCGGGTGACTACACAGGTGATAATATTACTGTACTTTTTCTAAGATACTAAAAAATAATAGTCACTGCAGAGAACTCAAGAGATGATGCAAGTGATAACCAAAACCAGAACCTTGAGGAAATAATTATGGAGCTGATAAGTCATTAACTCGTTTTTGTTTTTAAACTTTTTTTTCTCTCAGTACTTCTATAAATATCAACGTCCTTGCTAGAATATACAATTATTTTTGCTTCTCTAGAGATACCATCTGTAGGGTTGTCTCCATTCCGGAATACCCCAAAGGTGGTATAGGACATGCATTGATAACAGTTTGTGGTGATCTGAACATTTCAGAACTGTGGGAAACACATTAGTAGTTAGGATGCAGAAATGTGAATCTCCTAAAGAGAGTATCTTCAGAGTAAATTACTTTTAAGTAAAGAGAGTGTCTTCTGAATAAATTACTTTTAAGATACAATTCTCTACTTTGTCTCTGTTTCTTGTAAAGTGCCCTGAAGAAATATTTGTATATAGAAACAGAAATAAGCTTGTTATATAAATTTGATCAAAATAAATCTTGGAGTTTTGACTCAGTCCTGCATTTTTGTAGAAAATGGATAGTTGTGAGCAGAATCGGATGATTAACTAAGGTAGAGGAAATTTTGTCTACTATGAACTGGTTCGAATTTTAAAATGGAGTCCTGCTCCAGTTTAAGACACCTTCATTTAGGTGTCTACAGATAGTTGTCTACATGTGTTTCATTTCTTGGCTCTCATTACAGTCAGTGAAATCAAGGATAGGATTCAGCTGCATAGATATATAGTTGTCTAGTGCCATTTTACTTGCCTCAAGGTATCTAAGACACCACACATATCTAGGAGGATATACAGAAAACTGCACCCTGCTGGACAGCTGCTACAGGATACTTTAAGGTCTCTCAAATTGCAACGGATATCCTGAATCCCATCCTTAGCCAATATAGCCAAGGGAGCCTATAGAATAAGTCAATTTAGTGTAATACAAACACCTCCTGTCTGGTCATCTGAATGGCTTTCCAGGATCCTTTGGCTATATTGGTTAAATCTCTTGACTAGCATGAGAGCTTAGGCAAGAGGCACACGTGTGGATACCTATTGCTTTCTGTCTTAATCTCAAACTGAATCTCACCCTTAATGAAATTCCATGTAAACTTCTTATTTTTTCCTGGCCAAAAGCTTTTATTATTATATTTACTTGATACAACCACTCCAGAAGTGGAAAACTATAAGACTGATAAAGCGCACCATCTACCCTCATACATATATATGTATGTATATGTATGTGGGTATATGTATACACATACGTATACTAGCTTATAGATAAAGTTGTGGGTTTCCAGTTTTTAATTTTAATTAAAATTAGCATAATTGAAAATTATTTTGTTTTAAATTGAAGGTGCGTTCTGAGGTGTGATATGAAGCACGCGTGTAATACTTTGCAAAAGTGCTTTGGGAGCAGAAGAAAGCTACTTAACCGCTATATGCTGAACATGGCCAAAATTGTAAATGCATTTTACTGCAGAGGAAGTTTTAAAAGACACAACTGATGTTAAGTAGCTATCTCTAATTGACTGTAATGGCAGTAAGACATTCTACTGTATAATGTATTTTTTACAGCATGGACATAAAGAGAATAATAGTTGCATTTCATTTCCAGTACACGTGTAATGGATTGTCTTATGAGAACGTTGATCAAGAGGGATAAAAACAACAGCACTGGAGATGTTTTCCTCAGGTTATCCCAGAATTGTAGGCATGAAATATTTCCCAAGTATAACTACTCTCATTCTCATTGGACAAGGTATTCAAAAGATTTTAGACCCAGAGTACTGCCTGTTGCTCAAAGAGCTGTGGATTGCTGAATGCTGTTTAGTGGTAAGTTAACTATGAGTTTTCCTTCTAGCCAACTTTAGCCAATTTCCAGTCCCTTGCAATGATAATCATACTCTTTCACAAACACTTCTTTTGTCTGTTCAAGGAAGAAGGCACTATTCAAAGGAATCAGGATCTGGCACTTCTTTACTTAAGTATCCAAAAATCCCATTTTTGATATGGATCAAATTACACCTGTTACATATTACAGGGTTTTGTAATTTAGAACCTATTGTTGGATTTTTTTCTCTCTCATTAGAAACAATACTTTTTAAAACTAGAATAATTACATTGAAACGTTTTCCAGGAAACCAGTTAGAATGAAGACATTTTAATGAAAATAATACTGTATTTAGAAACACATAATCATTTATTATGAACCATTGTAGCTGCTACTACTGTTTCTTTTTTGGCTTAATTGAAAAGCTTTTTAAATCGGCAGAATTCTGCACAGAGGGTGTGGTCTCAAATTATTTCAAACTAACTAACAATCTTCTGTGCAAGTTAATGGCATCTTTACAAAAAAGAGTGACATTTTGTTGTTCAGTGCTGAAAAGTAATACCTCTTCTTCTATTGTAGAAAATAGATGGTCTACAAAACCGGGTAAATTTGCAAAAGCTTTATCTTTAATGCAATGAAATTTCCAGGATTGAAAATCTGCTAGTCCTAACAAAGCTGAATGTCCTTTGGTTGAATAATAACCTGATCAAGAATATAGAGGTGAGTCTGGTGTCCTTGTTATGATTGCTTTTCTTCAAATTTGTCTAATGTATGGTATTTTAATAGTATGGTATATAGATGTGTCTAATAAGTAGGGCTAACTTTTAGAATTACTGAACAACAGAAAGGACAATTTTAAACTTCAATTTATAAGAATGAAGGCTGAAACATTATTTGGAACTGATTGGCTGTCAAGTGTCAAGGTTTTCTGCATATGCATATTTAACTAAATAACTTATTTTCAAAGACCTCTGAGATTCTTGCTGAGGAAAAGATTTTTTTAGGTTTTTTATAACTGCAGATTTTTTGTCTGCAGTTTAGTATTATGTAAAAGGCTTGCCATTTAATTTTTAATTTAATGTTTGGATTTTTTATTTTTTTATAACTTGGAGAGATTAATTCCTGTTCAGGAGAAGTTTCATCCTGGCTTTTTCTCATGCTGTCATATATCAAATTAGCTCCTATGAAAAATTGGTTTCTCCCCTCTCCCCCCAAAATTAGTACTCTTCATGCTAACCTTTGAGTTGGAGGCTAGTCCAGAACCAGCGAGAGTTCTGTGATTAGCAGTTTGGCTTGTAAAGTGAGAAGAAATGTGTAAATGTCCATTTCTAGCAAAAGACCACGTAGCTTTCTGAATTACCTGACTCTTCATGCCCCAACAGAGAGATGGAATTGCTGCAGCTCAGTCCATTTTCCCTTGGGAGAGTACAGGAAAAAAAGGCAGAGGGAGATACTGATACCAAGATAAAAGTAGTTAGAGCAGAAGGAGATGCTGATACGGTTGAATGAGACCAGATCACTGTGACCTTCAAAGCTGTAGAAAAGAGGAGAGAGAAATCGAAGCTGGGCATGATGATAGGGAAGGAAAGGGAAGACCGAGAAATTACAGCTGAAGAAGTACAAGTGTAAAGGCAGTCCAAGTGTGTCCAAAAATGATTATTTATTAGCAAGGACACTACAAACACTAGTGGCATCTCACTGCAAAGAACTGCAGTGTCATCATGGAGACAAATGATTGACATTAGTGATTTAGTTCTCATGATATCCTGAGGCCAAGACATGGGCTGCAGCCAAAAGCTAATGAGTATTCATGACATGGGGCATGATCTGTTAGGTTTCTCATGCACAGCTGTGAAACTAAGGCTGGGGGACTACGTTTATTTTCATTGCAGTATCATTTACAAAGGCTTTCCAAGCCAATTCCCTTTCGGCAAAATGCATTCTCTCTTTCCATGTCAAAAGAAAACTATAGTTTACAACAGAGGCTAACATTGTTTAGACTCCAGTCAAATTTGTTTTTACATTTGAGTGATCTGCCTCTTAGCCTACAGGCTCTTCAGCATTTGCAGTGCTATATTAGATTAAAACTGTACGGTTTAAAACATTCACAGGGCTTACATACTCTGCAGAATTTGCAAGAGGTCAACCTCACTGGAAACTTAGTAGAAAAAATAGGAAGGTGATATCAGTCTGGCATTTCTAGCATGAGCGTTCTGATTATTACCGAGGATTTATGTACATGGTTTAATCTTTCTCTCATTCTGATAAAAATTTCTTACCAACTTGCATGGTTCAGAGTCATATCCAATATATACAGCCCTGATCATCCCAACGTCTGTGTCAAAACTCCCTAGGGCTCATCTTTGTTTACTCCAAACTCCTTTCCATTGCTGTAGCCGTGTCAAAGAAGACAGAAAATAGGTATCAGTGGGATTTGTGCATATATTTATTTCTCTTTTTCGCTGCCTTTCGTATAAAGGGCTTTTAGTTTAAATCTAAATCAAGCCTGTTTGGTTATAAATGGAAATGTAAATCATGCCTGCATTTCTAAACAGATACTAGAGAATCCATTAATTTTTCTTGGTTTATCTTTATGTGTAATAAAAAGATCTTCAGAATGCTATCCCTGCACTTTGAGTGGAAATGGAAAACAATATATTACATGTATGATGCCATTGTTTGTGTTAATTATTCTTCAGAATAATCAACAGCCAAGATTCTAGGACACTTAATGTGTTGCAGGGGATCCATACCCAGTTTCAATTCTGCCGGGATGATAATTATTTGAACCTGGTGTCTCAAGCCTTAGGTAAGTGCTTTGACCAAGGGGCTCTTAAATGGAACTGCACCAAGAAGGAAGCCTCAGAGATCCAGTCCAGAACAGTGGACTAGATAAGATACTCACCTAATGTGGTAAACTGAGTTTCAAGTTGCTTCTTTTATTCATCCAGTACAGGTGTTTGCAAAGGACCTTCCTGCCGAGTTCCCAGATTATCATGGTTATTGTCTATTCTAGCTGATACTTTAAACATTTCTGAAAGGTCTGTGTTTTGCAGATTAGGAAGCTCTTTCTCACCGAGCTCTCAAGTTACTGGTTTGGTTTTCGGGTTTTTTTCTGATTTCCATCTGATTAGTCTGTTCCCTTTCCTTTAAGAACAGTATAAGCAACATAATGGATCAGAGTCAGACTGTAGTTGCATCAGTGCAACTGCAATTGTTCTAAAATGAAAAGACCTGTGTCACAGTTTTTCTGTACAGCAGTTTGTAAACATTCCTAGTAGGTCTTTAATGCACTTTGAGTGAGCCCTTTGCACATATGTCTATACATATATAATGTCTATACAAATATAACCGAAAAAATATTGCTGATTAGGTAAATAGGTCCCCTTAAAAGTACTTTGATCAAGAGTGAACAGATTCTTTTGATCAAGGGTGCACAGAGCAAGGACTCTGCCACTGCAGGCTCATGCCTTTATGGTCATATCTTCCTCCTTTGCTTGCCATATGTAGATCAGGTAGTATCTAGGACGCAGACATGCGCTTCAGTCACCTCATCTCTTTGTCAGAAGTGCCTATAGTTAGTGCATATATGAATATTTTAAATAATAGTCTCATTGGGGTGTGTAGGCAGAGTGAGCTAAGTTGCTTTCTTTAAGAAGAGATTTTTGGAAGTTTTATACTTGGGAGCCAAATCTTTGGTTGTTATTCAAAAGGAATGAGTAGTTTATTCTTTTGCTTTACCTAATCTCAGCTGTATAGTGGCTTGATTGATCCTAAAGATTTACCTCTTAAAAAAGAACGCAAAAAAAGTTTTGCTTCCACAAAGCAGAGAGTAATTACTATGCCACACAGTAATCAAACATGGAGAGAGAAATGATCCCTGCCCTTAGGTGTCTGAAGAAAAGCTGCACTTCCTTTTTAACTGTACCCTCTAACTCTCTTTTATTGCTGAGACTTGCATCATAATGAAATCACATTGAGGGATCGGTCCTGCCTGGGTGCAACAGTGGTCTAATTGATATGAATAAGACTGGGATATGAGCCAGTATACAACAGAAGAGTATGTGCAGTTGCTCAGAGCAAAGCTGTCCCTTTGGCCAAGTAATTCAGCTTTTTCTATTGACAATCAAGAGTTTGAATTTATAAAATAATTTTCTGTTTTGATGTTTTCAGGTATGATTTTTAGTACACATCTAGAAGGCTTATCTTTTGAGGAAACATAAATAAGATAATTTTCCTTCCATACTTTAACATAGCCTCTTGCTTCTGAATGCTAATGGGGTCTTTTTATCAGCCGGAACGTGAATTGGCCAAGCTGCAAATGTTGGGTAAAACATCAAGTAATAAATCTCTAAGGAGTAAGAATCTGGAAACTGAAAATGCAGTTCATGATAATGAAGTACAGAAAAGACATGTCTTGAAAAGGCATTCTTACAAGAAATAAATGCACTGGAGGAAAGAATAACATTCCGGAACAGAAAACTGAATGAGTATGTTTAGTGAATTGTACAAGAACAGTATTCTGGTATTTTCAGACATTAATAATTGGGTATGATGGTGGCTGGGGGTTAGGAGATTAATGACAGGACTTGAAGCCTGTCTCACATTTGGTTTTTATAAGGTCCAAACTATGTGTATTGCAAATATCATTTAAGTGGCAGCTCTTATGTGGTCTGAATTATTGGATCCAAGCCAGCCTCTTGGAGACAGATGCTGCCATTCCCATTACTGGTGATCTCAGTAAATAGAAAAAGGATTGAAAAAAATAGCTGGGATGAGTAGTTGTATTGGACCAGTGCTTGGACTGTTTTCTGGGCCCTTAAATAGTAGAGATCCAGCAAAGTGCTATGGTTTTTTTGTTTCTGTTTGTTGGGGTTTCTGCCCCCTGTAATTCCAGTGTGATTTTAATGGCTTCTTTTTGTTGTCATTCTTGAGTCTAGCTTAGGACTTCATGAGTCAAATTCACTCTAAAGTCAATGGCCAGCACAAAGTCTACACACAGAGAAGCCTTCATAATAAGACATGTGGAGGATATCAGTGATGCCATAGACCTAGTGTTGGATACCAGCATGGGTCTGAAGCTCATTCTACAGATTTTTTATGAAGGGAGAATTGGATGGCTCTCTTCTGACGAGTAGAAAGCTGTCTGTGCTCTCTCTAATGTTCTGCAGGACAGCTAAGGCATACCAATCATCCGGCCAGTTCTTGCTTTGTTTTTCTAAGACCAATGAACACTGTTCCTATCTACAAGTGTAGTACAAAGAGTCTGTAGTGCATCGGGCCCCAAAAGAATCAAACTGTTTCGATTTTGCATTTGAGTGGGAATAGTATACTGAAGTATACTATACTTTAGTATACTACTATACTAAAGCTTGTTAATAAAGAGAGGGAAAGACTGTCGATCATCTCAAGGATGGAACAACTGATGGAGATGTGGGAGAATTTAAACATACTGTGAAATTTGCTGCTGTTACTTGCCACTGATTTCACGCCAGTGCCTCACACTGCACCCAAGTCCAGCACGGTTTCATTAGTTCTGCAATTTGAACTGACATCATTATGAATACTAAATAGCAAACCAAGACCTTCTCTTACTTGAGGAGGTGATTTTCTTAAGTTCATGATTACAGAACAACGCTGAGGTGAAGTGGATGAAGCTTGGTGTTACAGATCAGTATAGGACCAGTATATCCATGTATTAGGATCAGTATATCCACAGTTGTAGTCTTTCAGATTTTTTAAAAAACAAAAATCTCTCTGTAATCATTCATCTAAATTTGTTGCTGAAAAAAAAATCAGAATTATTTTAATTTGTCCTGTTACGTTGTTCCAGCCAGAATTTAAAAAGATTTCCAAGTGGAAATGAAGAAAAGTTTTAGTTTGGTAGTACAATTCTTGTTGATGGAGTTGGAAACAGTGGGAAACATTCACTTTGAAGAAGCTTTGTCAAATAATCCACGGTAAACTTTTAAAGATACTTCAAACTAGAACCTGTTTCTTATGATTCCAAGTTAATAATTTTTAACAAAACAAATTTAGTACAAGGATCTGGAGTATTTTGAAGCATCAGTGCTCCACAGATGCCACTTGCAGATAGCTGACAAGAAAGGAAACACTCTCTCCCCTCTCCTTCTCTTGGTGGTGTACTAGGCTGAAGCTTTGAGCTCACAAAGACTGATTTTTTTTGTTGCCTTTATTTTTTTATTACCTATTTATGAAGCCCTTGATTTTAAAAAAGATAAAAGAATAACCAAGCTACCCAATTGCTTTTTAACAACAGTGATAATGATTATTCTAAGTTCCTACACAGCTTTACTTGTAAAGAAGCATTAGAAGTTGCTTACATAATCTTTGTATGAATAACCTTGACGCTCAGTTGAGGGGAGATTCAAATTTAGACTGGCAGTACTTCAAGGACTGTTTTCTGCTTGAGTACTCCAAGCTTGTCCACCTCAGGTATGCCTTCTTTTTGTGTTCAGGGATGTTTGTTAGAGCTGCAGGTAGTTCTGTATTTACAGGTTCCATTTGAGGTTGTTTATAAATAGCATTCTGCTTACTTTTAATGCCACTTTCTCAAGCTGAGGATTTTTCTGTTTTGGCAAGGAGAAATTAATAAATGACTCTTGTAGGGATGAAAGCCAAACTGAAGTTTTTTAGATGAGTAATCTTAGCACAGAATCTTTCTGAGAAAGAGCAATAATTTTATTAGTTGCAGTAAAGATTTTGACTGTTATATCTTCTTCTTTTTTAAGAAAACTTTCCATTTATTGAAAAACTGGAGAACCTACTGCATTTCTAGGTTGATTCTCTTTCTAAGGTGTCTGGTTACCCCATAATCTTTAAGGAATCTTACAGTACCAGATGGAAGTATGGGAGTTTATTGTCTTCCTAGTCAGACACAGAGAAAATGGCCACATATTTTTGAAGTGATTTGACTTGTGTACCACAGGGCATAGGTGAGCTTCTGCCCCCAGGTTCCTGGCTGGCCAGTGGACTGTCTCCTCTGTCTCAAGTTTGACTGTAGAAACTGTTGTAGGTTCTTGCAAACCATGCTTGCTTTATGCATGATTGTGCTTAGTATAGTGGAACTGCTCATTTGCATAGTGAAGAAGGATTTAAACAGATTTTAAATATGACAGTGCAAATAGAGAAAAGGAACACAATGAATCAGATATGATTAGGTATTGATGTTTGATGCTTAACTTTGAATAAAGTTTGAATTTGAATAAAATAAGGTAAATTTATTTGTCTCCACTTGAGAGAACAAAGTTATAATGAAATGAAACAGGCTAGAGGTATTGCTTGTGATTCTTTCTTCTGAATAGGAAACAGAAGAAAATCATGTAGATAGCACTGAAAAATTCAGTGCAAAACAAGAAGAAAATATTATTAACTTAGTGCTCTCCTCTGTGCATTTCTGCACACAGGTTTATTTCTTGTTGATATATAATTAAATCACGATTCTGTACTGGGACTGGGACAGTCTGGGACTTCAGAGCATACAGTATCATGGGAATTAAAATAAATCGCATCTTTAGAGTGCACAATCAAATTCTGAGGCTGAAATTTAAGGAGACATTTCAAATATTTCTGTAAAAAGAAGTTTTCAGTATAGCAGAGTAAGTTCTTAAGTTTTAAGAGCTATTTAGTGTAGCATTGGCCTGTGAACAAAGTTAACTTTGTGATTATAAGACCAGAAACATTTTGCAAGGCATCAAATAATTCAGGATTATTAAGTTTTACCCAGATAGAGGTGGCTCGAAGTTCCCCAAAGTCCCTATGCTTGGTATTTCTATGACTGGCTTTTGG